CCACACACATCACAATAAAAACATGCAGGAACAAACCATGTCAAGCAACATTGCCCTATCTAAAAAGATAACAAAAATACATTGCACAACTAAATGTATTTTTATGTGATTATACTTTTGAACTCGCCACGTGTCAGAACAGTTTTCAAATTAAATATTCATATTCAACTACCAAATATATTCATATCCTCATATCAACATATATTTTGTTCTTTCTTCGCAGATATCACTGCCAGGCATCCATCCATAAATAACAAGCGAGATTTATAGTTTGTCTCATGTAAAGAATAAATTTAGTACTTAGATTATGAATAAAGCATATAAAAAGCACGATGTTTGTCGTAAATATATAATAAATGGCGACTTTCGAGACTTTTCTGGAGTTCAAGGGCGTTAGGCAGAAGTGTTGGATCAGTGATTCTGCTGTGAAATATTTAAGAAATATTATTCGTATTAAATATATGCACAAACTATACTTAATTCACTTACCGATTTGACACATATTGGATACATTCAGAAAGCTGTAAGTTATCAGTAGCGGCGTACATGCGAGCTGTAAGAAAATATTTAACAGTGCTGCCACAGATGTATTGAACGCGCCTCCACTGCGCAATTTCGCTAAAGGACTATAAAATAGACAGGGTATGGCACAGCGCAGTCCATTTTTAGACAAATCGCGTACCAGACTTCTCGTGCGCGAACATTAATCATGATATTCGTAGCTAACGGTCGAATGCCAAATAACCACATTATCATTATTTTAGTGTAATTTGGTACGTAATTTTTATGTGATGGTTTTGAAAAATCTTTATGAATACAGAAATAATCCCAATTTTTCATTTACATATTGAAAGCTTTGCTTAATGAGCATATTATTTGTGTTATCGCATTTTTACGTTGGCGGTACAGATATTGTTCAACATCGGAGTCACCAGGGGAGTCAGTGGCTGCCGTATTGCGAGGGTATGTTGTTGTTTTATTGCCGGTATTTATTTCGCGTACAGGTCTGGCTTTTGTCACTCCATATATGGAATTTGAGATCTATAAATGAATTCTGGTGAGCACTGCTATTAGAACCCATTTATTCTAGTACGTCAATCCCATAGAAGTGCTACTCTGAAGAACCGTGTTTACTGACAAACATGGTGAGGTGTTGTGCGTATGAATGACATAACGATTTCTATTAAGTTTCTCGAAATCCCAAATAAAAAGTCACGCTATTGGTTGCGAGAAATCGGCAATTAACCTGAAAGTGAAGACACACACAACATTCTTGCTAATGGCAAACAGGGTGTGAATAAATATTGTGAGTGTTAACACAAAATTAGAATTACGCTAACGTCACCTGAACTATAGTATTCATTTCGCCCAACTTCCCACTTTTTAATCGACGGTATTTTTGACAGAAAACGACCGCATTTTCATCGTTTCTTTCCTCTGGTTCGCTTATTGGAACATCAATCGCTCGCCCAAACACTAAAAACTGG